CTCTCTCTCTCTCTCTCTCTCTCTCTCTCTCTCTCTCTCTCTCTCTCTCTTTCTCTTTTCCCCGCCCTTCTCCCCACCTCTCCCTCACACATACACACAAACACACTACTTCTGGGTACTAAATAGCAGAGTATAGCCCAAATCTCTACCTAACCCTCCAAACTGGCACATGAAAGTTTCTATTGCCAAATGAAAAATCTCTAATGTTTATACTCCAGCACCAACCGTTATTATAGAATTTGCCTCAGAAATAACATCTTCTTTGGGGAAAAGTAGAGGAGAGAAATCTGATATATGAGCAAATTTACACACAAATGTCTATCTTTTCATTATGAACAGTGATAACCAAATCTAATGTCTGTCCCTGTAGAGAAAATTGAACTGTCATTTTACTTTCAAGTAAAGCTTTTTAAAAAATTTGATAATTAAGTATTATAAAAGTAACATAAGCATAAAATCTAATACAAACAAATTATTATATTTAATACATAAATATTCTATACTGACATTTCCTACGTATTTATTGAGTACATAAACATCTATCAAGTCCCTGAGTACATACAATGCACTGTCTATTTCATAGTTTTTTTATGTCAATGACACTGCGATCTCTGATTTTAAGAGTGCTTCCTCTATTGGTGGAGACTGCAATTTATCCACTTCTTGGCTTTCTATATCTTCTCATAAATCTTCCCCAAAGGCTCCACCCAACCTCCTACAGGCTTCCTCTACAACTCTCTTGGGGAATGTTGTCGGTACCAGTATGGGCATTTTGGCTGTGCATCTTTTAGCTCTCACTCTCACTGCATGAAGAACCTACCTCTTTTTATGGTTATGTATCCCTGGGATAGCTTTTGCACCATTTCTTAAAAGTAAGTCATCTTTGACTATGAAAATCCAATTTAATTCAGAAATTAAACCACTTGCTAAGTGCCTAGCATTGTGCTAAGCCCTGAATCAATTAAGAGAAAATCAACTGATGTTTTATAATTAAAGTTGACAGTATTGCCCTCCCCTCCCGTTTCCTCCCTTCCCCTTTCCTCTCCTCCCTTCTCTCCTCCCCTCCCTATTACTCTCCTCTCTTTTCCTCCCCTCTCCTCCTTCCTTCTCCTCTTCTCCTCTCACCTTGACTGTCCTCCCCTCTTCTCCCCTCTTCTCACCATGCTGTCTGGTGTCAGCCCATCCTCCTCCTTTCCTTTCTAGTAGAA